AGCCGATAGTTTACAAGACCTGGAAAGACTCATGAGCAAAATAGTCATGTGCAGTAGGGAGTACGGACTCTCTCTTTATGTCAAAAAGACGAAGTTTATGAAAATTTGTAAAAACAACTATAATACTAACGAATCTTAATAGTAGAGGGCCAGCAGATCGAAAGAGTAAAAAAGTACACTTACCTAGGAACACTTATAACAGAAAATAATGACTACACGGCAAGAAATCAAAGTCAGAATCGAAAAAGCACGTTCTAATTTTATAAAAATGAAAAAGGTCCTATTTGGCAAAGATCTAACATTAGCTCTTAAAGTACGCCTAACAAAATGTTACGTATACAGTGTACTATATTATGGAGTGGAATCATGGACGTTAAATCTAGATACCATGAGACGACTTAACGCCTTTGAAATGTGGACCTATAGAAGAATTATGAGGGTTTCCTGGGTAGATAGAGTTACAAACAATGAAATACTGAGAAGAATAGGCAAAGAGAAGGAAATTGAACTTACAATTAAAGAAAGAAAGCTACAGTATCTCGGACATGTGATGCGGGGCGATAAGTATTTCATCCTGCGACTCATAATGCAAGAAAAAAATAGATGGCAGAAGAAGCATTGAAAGAAGACGAATTTCATGGCTGAAGAACCTGAGAGAATGGTTTGGATGCAGCTCAAAACAACTATTTAGAGCTACTGCCTCAAAAATTAGATAGCTATGATGATTGCCAACCTCCGTAGCGGAGATGGCACCTGAAGAAGAAGAAGAATGTGGTTCTTAGTAAGTGTAGGGTTATTAACTAGATAATTAACTGTGTTATTTGATTAAAAAATTAACTCAACACGAATTGTGATTTTTTTTAAAATAATAATTGATGGTCACAATTTGATTTTTTGTCTCTAAGTTTTTTCTCTTATATATTTTACATAAACACTATTTAAATCATTTTTTTATTACAAGAATATTTTTATTTTCCCGTTTTTTAAATTAAAATTGATAAACAATTTACGGAGATATTTGCAAAAAAGCAGTTTTTTGCACTTATTTATAAATTTTATTAATTTTTTTAATAACAAAATAAAATGTTATTAATACATTTCGACACTGAGTAATTACCGTCATTTAAATATGTGCAAAATTTTTCCTCGATCGGTCAAATAGTTTAAAAGGTATTTAATTTGCTTATTCCTGATGCTAAATATTTAAACTATTGAAATTGCTCTATTAATGATGCTAGACACATTTAGCAAATTTCATAGGATTCTTTAAAATTCAAACTATTTTAGAAGTTAATTGCATATAAGGTTTTCATCCATCAACATAAACGTTTGAAAAAGAGGTATGTTTTTACTTATAAACAATTGTAATAATTTTTTTAATAACTACATTTTTCAAGCTACAAGCTTGCACGTACAACCGTTGGATAGCTAATAAAAAACTCACATTTTAAAGAAAACATTCAATGACCAATAGGAACGAATTCTAGAAGGAGTAAAACAAACAATATTTCACTCATACAGAGGTATATCATTGGCATCATGTGTACTTAAAACATTCGAGCGAATGCTCAAAACAAGAATGGAATATTGGCTAGAATCAATCTCAAACTACCAAAATATCAGTTTGGGTTTAGAAAAGCTCATTCCACAATAGAAAATGTTACTCATCTAGTCACTGACATTAATATCTCATTCTCATTAAATCGTTCTACCATAGCGTTGTTTATGGATATTCAGGGAGCTTACGATATAGTAAATCTAGGAATTCTACATCAACAAATGGTGCGAATTGGTTTTAGTTGTGAATTTTCTAGAAAAATAATAAAATTATATCGTAATCGCATAATTAACCTTAAAATAAATGAGGACATTTTAGATACAAGAACAACAAGTCTGGGATTACCTCAGGGTAGCGTTTTTAAGTCCTATATTGTATACAATCTATACCTTTGACCTAGAAAAGCTAAACAGACGAATTCAGGGATATTAAGATACTGGAATATGCTGACGATATATGCATTTACATTGATAATTGTGATTTTGAATCTGGTTACAGTTCTTTAAATCAATTTTTTCTTCGATTTAACCAATGGTGTCACGAGAAAAGTTTAAACATTTCACTCACGAAATCAAAAGCATGTATATTCACCCGGAAACGAACTATTCCCAATCAGCTTGTTTTACAAGACCATAGTTTTCCCGTCATCTCCCACGTAACATACCTGGGAGTAACAATTGATAGAAAATTAATCTGGAAAGAGCACATAGAAAGAATATTAAAAAAAGCCGAGAAAGGGATTAAATATATTAAGAGCTGTAAGTCCTTACAGTTGGGGAGCCGATTCAGAAATGTCCCTGTTATTATACAGGTCATTTATTAGATCAATTCTGGATTACGGATGCTTTCTATACTCTCAAGCAGCCTCCAGTAACCTAAAAAAGTTAGATATTTTAGTGAATAAATGTCTAAGATTATCCCTTGGAGCCTTTAAAAGTACACCAATTTCAAATCTTCAAGTAGAATGTTGTGAAAATGCCTTTAGAGCTAAGAAGAAAATATCTCTGTAATAAATTTTTGTCCAAAATTTTCATCTAAAAATAGTAGTCTAGTTAATAAAGTTCACAACCTTTTTATAATGGATTTAACTAATAAGTACTGGCAGAAAAAAGAATCACTGGTTTTATGTAAATCATATCAAGGCTGCTTACAATATAAAGACAATATGTATAAAAAACGAACTGTTACCGATATACCAAACAAACTTAACTGATGTGCCTGAAATAGACATACGTTTTCTAAGAGATTGTTCTAATTACCCCATGTCGTTGAGAAATGTGATGTTTTAATTCAGACATAGAAAATTATTTTAAAAATTATCATATCATATTTACAGATGCATCAAAAAAAGACGATAAAACGTCCTGTGCATTTTGGGACCTACACGAGACTATTTCGAGGCAAAAAAACTTCCGAGTGAATTTTCAAGTTATTCAGCTGAACAACTCGCTATATTAGAAGCAATAAAATATATTAAAAATAAATTATTTAATAATAAATTTTTTTTAATAATATCAGATTGTAAAAGTGTTTTACATAAACTTTCAAACATATCTATTAATATTAATTATATCTTACAAAATATATCAATTAATTTTAAATACTTGTATGAGGAAAGAAAAATAGTTAAGTTTGTTTGGGTTAAAGCTCATTGTGGGATCATCCACAATGAAAAAGTAGACATACTGGCCAAGGAAGCATTAGATTCCGATACTGTTGTAAAGTATTCATTAGTTCCTGAAGACCTTTATATTATTTCAAAAAATATAATTAAGCAGGAATGGATGAATAAATATGATCATTCCACCAAGGGACTTTTTTATAAAGGCATTCAGCCGAAAATTCCTACCAAACCATGGTTCTGTAATTTTATAACAAAAAAGATGCAATCAGAATTCGAAAGCTGTAGAATTCGATTCAATCATTCCCTAGCACCATCTCACCTATTTAAATTAAAAATTGTAAATTCCCCAAACTGCGAATGTGGAGAATATGGCACACTAGAACATATGATATTAAATTGTAGTAAAAATAGAATAAAGACCAATGTTTTTATGGAAACCATTATGAAAATAAAAATTTTAGTAAAACCCATCAACCTTTATGGGTTAATAGTTTCTAACAATTTAGAAGTTTATAAGTTGCTGTATCAATACATAAGCAGTTTAAAAATAGGAATATGAAACAATAATTTATAAAGACCAATGTATACCAAAACTTGTATATAAATGAAAAAAGAAAAAAAAAAAATAAAAAAAAAATATATATAAAACAAAATAAAAAAGAAAGCATTTCAACAATAAAAAAAAATATATATATTAGACAATATTAATAAAACGAAATACAGAAAAAATATTGAAAATATTAAAAAAAAATAATAAAAAAAAAATTAAACAAAAAAAAAATAAAATAAAATAAAAAAAAAACACTGCTTGCGGAATTGGATAATACTGGATAAACAACCACTGGGCACTGGATGCATGGATACGAAACTAGATACCTTCTACTAGAAAATTGTATACAAAATTGTATAAAATTAAAAAAAAAAAATAAATAAAAAATATGATGTTTGTAAGTTTACCAATTGTATAATGTAGAATTTTTAACGTAGTGATATTGTTTTTAAAATTATTAATAATGTAAATTTTAAATATTAATAGCTTTTATTTTAATCATTGGTAAGAATCAAAGTAAAACATGATTAGGCGAATGAAACCATAGGTTTCGCAGTCAATATTCCAACCACACACACACACAACAATATTTCACTATTTATTGAATTCTTTTAATAATAAGAATGTTGACGAGCCAACGGCCATTACAATACCATAATAAAAAGAAAACAAAACAACTCTACTGATTTATTCTATAGTGACAATCTGACATGACAAGTGTCACTTTTAAAATCAAGGCGGGAATTGTGGTGTTTTGACACTAATTTCCGAGTCAATTTTCCCAATTTGAATTAGTGACTTTCACGGCTAATGGCCGTGGACAATATAATGTCTCAGTTGAGTATTTTCAAAGTAGTTTTAAAAATTGTTTTTATTCAACCCCATGCTATTTTATTAAAAATTTAATAAAGGATATTTAAGTAATACTTATTTATGTACTGTATTTACCTTATTGTTTTTTGGATAAAATATGTTTGTGTTTATTTAGCAGTGAAAATAACTTGTTTTCACCTCGATATTACCTTCAATTTTACAATGATTATGCATAGTATTTCATTAACTACATATACAAACTGTCGTATCTGATCTGTTACACATCTTCAGACAAAACAAAAAGGAACATTCCAAGAAGGTTCCACGCAATTAATTGTAAAACTGGTTTGAAATATTTTTTTTGGGTAAAAAATGTAAATAATATTTTACGTCAGAGAGAACCAACTCATATATAAGATTCTGTTAGAGAAGTGTAGTCTATACTGACAACAAATCTTAAAGAGAAAACATTAACTCTTATCAAAATGAATCGTTGGTGTCTATCGGCTTTATTGGTTACAGTCTTAGTGGCGGTTGTGTGGGGTGCCCCGAAGAGTTTGCAGGATAACATAAAAATCCTTAAGAAAATTGATATTGAGACGGTGTTGAAGAATGACCGAATTATTAAGGGCTATATCGATTGCGTCACTGGTAAAAAGGGTTGTACTCCTGAAGGTGCTGCGTTAAAAGGTATACAATTTTATTAAAATTTTTATTATATAATTAAAACCTGAAATAGCCTATAACTGCCGTTTGCCTGAGAATCAACCGCAATTGAATTTTAAAACATTTTTTTATCTTCTGACTTAAAGCTCGTTAATCGTTCTTAATTTAATAATCTTACACCCTTTTATCTGTGTTGGCTGATATTTTTTTTTCATTTTAATAGACTTTAATTATTTTATTTTACCCAGTACTTCTTCTTTTTCTTCATTTACGGTTTACATTATAGTAAGTTGGGCAGCACTTGGGAGTATTGCAATTATTTTGCTCCCTTGTCCAATTTACTTACCACTTTATCCCGGCTTTTATTATTGGGAACCAGCTATTTGTTATTATGTATTTCGTATTTAATATGTTTATTGCTTTTGAATGTTCGCAAACTAATCGTTTTCTTATATGAATTATCTAATTTCCAAAAATCATAAAAACTACAATTTTTTTAGAATTCTATACAAACAAGTTTTCTAAAATTTTGAGTTTTCTAAATTTTTAATTTGTTACAATAAAAATGCGTTAAAATATGAATTGACGTACTGCGATTCCTACTTTATATTACTCAGTATTTATCCACATGTCATTTTCTAGAAATCTTTCTTCTCTCTTTGTCGACGTTTCCTCTCTAACTCTTCCGTGATCTTCCTATTATTTTCCTTAATTTTGGGTCTCACTCTAAGACTTTTTTAGATTTTATTATTGGTAATTTTGTCTTATTTTTTCTGTGATTTTATTTATGTTTATCATTTATCTGTCTCCTTTATTTGTAGTCTGTTCTCAAATTAATTTTCCCATTGCTCATCTCCAGTTATCTATTTATTTGGCTCTCAGTATTTTTTTAATACGTTCCTTTAATAGGCATGCTTTGTAGCTATATAGTATTATGCTCTTCACTATAGTATCATATATTCCCATTTTTTATCGTTCTATATCGTTTTGTCTTAAAACTCCATTTAATATTGTTATTGCCTATCTTTTCCAAATGTGTTTGTTTGATTATTTCACTGATCTGGATTTGATTTTCTGTCCACCTGATGGTCCACTATTCGTCTGATGACTTAATGCTGTGTAAATTCTGCCTTTAATTTCTTTCATGATATTTTTTTTTCCAAATTGTCCCATTCAGGTAAGTAGATGCTCCGTTTGCTCGATTCACTTGATCTTACACTTCAGTTTCGAGCTTTAAGTAGCTAGATAATGTGATGCCTAGATATTTAAACTCCATCACTTGTTGTATTATCTGACCTTCCAGCTCCAATAGACATCTTAGTAAATTTGTTCTCGTAACCATGCAGTTTGTATTTTTTGCGAAAATTAACAAATTTTCTGCAGGTTATATTAAATTGGTGCAGCATACGTTGTAAATCATCTTCACTTTAAGAGAGCAGTATTGCGTCATCTGCATAGCAGATTATAAGTTTTTTTTCTGCCATCTGGTATCTATCATTTTTAAGTTAATATTTTTTTATTATTTCATCCATAATCAGCTTAAATAATAGAGGACTCGGGAAATCTCCCTGTCTTATCCCATTGCCAGCTTCAATAGAGTCAGTTAGTTCTTCTTCTACTTTTACTTTTATTGTGTTGCTTTGGTAGATATTTCTGATCGTTCTGATTATTCCTAGAGTTATCTCTATTGCGTATAATAAGTGAATAACTTCCTTTAATTTGACCTGGTCAAATGCCTTCTTAAGGTCCATGAAATATAGTTATACCGGTTTATTGTATTCTAATAATTTCTCTAACAGTTTCCTTATTATTAATATAGCGTCGGTGAATGATCTTCCCGACCTAAAACCTTGTTGTTCTTCTGCCAGTGTTATAATTTCATTCAGTTAATTTGTTATCACTTTGGTTGTTAATTTTAGTGTTATGTTGAATAAATTAACTCCTTTGTAATTTTTCTTGGTAGGTATTAGGATGCTTGATCTCCTTTCTTGAGGAACATCTGCTTAATATAAAATATTTTATGCGATTTGAACTCTTGTTGATTGTATTTATTGTCTTTGTTGATTGTGTCTCTAACAGAGACAAACCCCGGACCAATCGTAACTTTTACAGTCCGATTTCTCTTCTAAACGTTACGAATAAAGACTTTGAGAGGATTTTGAAGAAAAGTCCCGTTAACTTTACGACAGACAATCATCATTCTTTCATTTAAATTTAGCTTTTGGTTACTTCACCAAAACCGCGTTGACTAAAGTCGTCATACATATTACCCAAAAAAGTTAAACGACAAAAAGCTTTCTATCGGCATTTTTCTTCATACACAGAAAGCCTTCGACCAAATATGGCATCTAAGAGTCTGGAAATACAGAAGATCGGTTTACCTATCCCATTTCTCAGACTAATCTATTTATATCTCTCTAAGCTCAAAATCACGGTCTAGGTCAGAAGTTACTGATAAACGTCTTTCACTCCTACAGTAAGAGTACCACCAAGTTCCGTCTTGCTGTTGATACTATACACCATATAAAACACCGAATTTTCGAATTCCACAAACACTCACACTAATTTTCAACAGAAGTTACTGCTCTCGTAATAACAGCATGAGATATATATGTCTGGAAAGGCACGTTCAAAATTACCTAAATCATGTCGATAGGTCGTACAAGAGATGGAGGTTATCCCAAGTAGACCTAAGACTATGAAGCGATCGACTTCAATTCAGAGATCTGTTCTAGTATCTAGTGGTGACATTTACAGAAACACTAAACTGGAGACAAAACCAGTGCTGCCATTTTAGTAAATCAACACGTCCTTAAGAGGCAACCAAGTCAACTAAACAGGACTTTCAGAACACCCAATCAAGAAAACACACAACTACCACAATCCAAACGACAATTACTTGAATCTTCGACGACATTTTTTTATTATTTTTCTACTCTTGAATTAAAGTTGTGACATAAGATGAGATTTCTCTTCTCGTACCAATTTCTGCTATGACTTCATATAACTCTTCTAAAAATGTATCATTGTTGTGAACCGGTTCTTTATCTTAATCTCAAGTATATACTGCTTCTCTTTTCGTTTGGTATTTGATCTTCTTTGTTCTTAAGGTGACTTAAGGTGAGTCTGCGCTGATATTGAGCAGCGATGTCATTCATCGCCTTCTAATGCCAACCTTTCCTAAAATTTTTCTCTGCTTAATATTCTACAGAAGCTGGTATTTATCCAACTTGCATAATTCTATTAAATACACATAACCAACTTGTTTTTGTCTACCCTAATGCAAATTTTTCTAATTTTAACTAATATTTTTATATGGTTATATTCATTTCTGAAGCAGATTGTAAATTTGTTTTAGTTGGTTCTTTGCTTTACTTTGCTCTTCCATTGCACCTAAAAAATATAAAATTGTTATTAATATTAAAGATTCAAAACGTAAGTAAAAAGAAATAAATAAGACTTACTCACAATCAGTTTAATTTAACTACCTAGACGACCGGTTTCACTTTCTACAATTTGCAAAGCATCTTCAGGTCAGTCGGTACAAAGTTAATTAAATGCTGAAATTATAAAAGCCCATATTAGGGTGCTGTCTTACAAAGATAGGGCTTTTATAATTTCAAACATTTAATTAACTTTGTACCGACTGACCTGAAGATGCTTTGCAAATTGTAGAAAGCGAAACCGGTCGTGCAGGTAGTTAAGTTAAACTGATTGTGAGTAAGTCTTATTTATTTCTTTTTTACCTATTTGAAATGGACTCGCACAGGCAACACATTCATGATTCAAAAGGTAGTTTATTAACCATAAATAATATGAAATAAGTCGTCGACACCACGCTACTAGCTGATAGTACCGGATGACTACAAATAATAACTATATAAATACTATAGATACTAAATTGTTTGCAGTTTTGCGAACACAAAAAAAGTTTTCTTTCTGTTATTCACTCTCGCATATATAGAAAACTTGAAGAAAACATTAGCAGTTCAGTTTGGGTTTAGAAGCGCACTGGGAACGCGAGAGGCCTTATTTTCCATACAAGTATAGATACAAAGAGCTCGAGACGTAAATTGCGAAGTCTACGCATGCTTTATAGACCTTGAAAAAGCATTTGACAAGCTGCAACATCAAGAATTATTTCAGATACTGAACGAATCTAGTATCGATGACAAAGATTTACGCCTAATCAAAAATTTATAAACTGTAAGAAGACAAAATTATATATCTTGGATGCAGCCTAAATAAGGAATGGGACCACTCACAGGAAATAAAATGTCGCCTAGAAAAGGCGAGAGCTGTCTTCAATCGTCTCAGTTATGTAATATGCACCTGAACATTGATATAAGAACACGAATTTTGAGATGCTATGTATTTTCTACCCTTTTATATGGAGTCGAAACCTGGACCTTGACGGAGGCAACATCCAAACGATTAGAAGCCTTCGAAATGTGGTGCTACCAGCGCATGCTCAGAATTTCCTATATCCGTCATGTTACAAACAACACCGTGATCCAACGTATAAATAAAGATCTGGAAATTATGCGTATCTTGAAAATCAGAAAGATGACATACTTAGGGCATGTGATGCGCAAGGAGAAGTATCAACTAATTCAACTAATTTTATAAGGCAAGGTAGAAGGCAAGAGATCTCAAGGGCTCAGAAGGACATCATGGTTGAAGAACATCAGACAGTGGGCAGGAATGATTACCATACACCTATTTAGAGCAGCTGTCAACAAAGTTGTATGAACCAACGTGATTGCCAACATCCATAGAGGATAGGCACCAAAAGAAGAAGAGTTTTCCCTTAATTTACTTAAATAATAAGAGTTACAATTTCAAAACAAGAAAACCAATCTCTCCTCCAAATGTATGTTAAATGAGGAAGTACTCGTATATTATACTTATGAGATAAATGTGGAGTTACGACTAAGAACATTAAAATGTTATGTCTTTCCTGTACAATTATAATATGACGCTCACTTTTGGAATCATGCTTATGACTCTTGTAACCGCTTCAA